GTCCCAGAAGATTGGAAGTTAGCGAATGTTGTTCCCATTTACAAGAAAGGTAATAGGGAGGAGTCGGGCAACTATAGGCCAGTAAGCCTTACTTCAGTAGTGGGGAAAGTAATGGAAACCATGTTAAAGGATAGGCTTGTTGAACATCTAAAAACACATGGATTTCAAGATCAGAGACAACATGGATTTACTTCAGGGAGATCATGCCAAACTAATCTTATTGATTTTTTTGATTGGGTAACTAAAATTATAGATCAGGGTGGTGCAGTAGACATTGCTTACCTAGATTTCAGTAAGGCTTTTGACACTGTTGCACATAGAAGGCTTATCAATAAACTGCAATCTTTAAGTTTGGATTCCAATATTGTTGAATGGGTAAGGCAGTGGCTGAGTGACAGGCAACAGAGGGTTGTAGTTAATGGAATATATTCGAAGCTTGGACTTGTCACCAGTGGGGTACCTCAGGGATCTGTACTTGGACCCATTCTCTTTAATATTTTTATTAGTGATATTGCAGAAGGTCTTGATGGTAAGGTATGTCTTTTTGCTGATGATACTAAGATATGTAACAGGGTTGATGCTCCAGGAGGGATAAACCGAATGGCAAATGATTTAGGTAAACTAGAAAAATGGTCAGAGTTGTGGCAACTGACATTTAATGTGGATAAGTGCAACATAATGCATCTTGGACGTAAAAACCCAAGGGCAGAGTACAGAATATTTGATAGAGTCCTAACCTCAAAGTCTGAGGAAAGGGATTTAGGGGTGATTATTTCTGATGACTTAAAGGTAGGCAGTGTAATAGAGCAGCAGGAAATGCTAGCAGAGTGCTTGGTTGTATAGGGAGAGGTATTAGCAGTAGAAAGAGGGAAGTGCTCATGCCATTGTACAGAACACTGGTGAGACCTCACTTGGAGTATTGTACACAGTACTGGAGACCGTATCTTCAGAAGGATATTGATACCTTAGAGAGGTTCAGAGAAGGGCTACTAAACTGGTTCATGGATTGCGGGATAAAACTTACCAGGAAAGGTTAAAGGATCTTAACATGTATAGCTTGGAGGAAAGACGAGACAGGGGGGATATGATAGAAACATTTAAATACATAAAGGGAATCAACACAGTAAAGGAGGAGACTATATTTAAAAGAAGAAAAACTACCACAACAAGAGGACATAGTCTTAAATTAGAGGGACAAAGGTTTAAAAATAATATCAGGAAGTATTACTTTACTGAGAGGGTAGTGGATGCATGGAATAGCCTTCAAGCTGAAGTGGTAGAGGTTAACACAGTAAAGGAGTTTAAGCATGCCTGGGATAGGCATAAGGCTATCCTAACTATAAGATAAGGTCAGGGACTAATGAAAGTATTTAGAAAATTGGGCAGACTATATGGGCTGAATGGTTCTTATCTGACGTCACATTCTATGTTTCTATATTACTTAACTGCTCTGACAGCTTATCACATCTTAAAACTATTCATAATACGTATTGCTATCACAATTATTATTTTCGGAGACTACCCTTTAATACTATTAATATATTCATTATATACATTTACAACATTAGACACACTGTTTATGTTCATTTGGCTGTTACTCCAATAAGATTGGACATCTTTAATCATTTGCCATTTAAAACCATTCATCAATTGATCCTGTAACGGACCGTTTTGCAAAAAAGGGGAAAAAAACGCTTAGACGATAATCCCTTTTTAGAGACAAGCACAGCTACTGTAGAATCACCCAAAACTCACGAATTGAATACAAGTGAATGCACCAAACTCCCGAACTGCATACAAGGGAATGCTCCAAACACTCGAACTGCATACAATAAGTGAATGCTTCAAACTCCCGAACGGCATCCAATACAGCACTCCAAATACACGAACAGGAACCATACGAATTGCTGCTACCAGACGAACAGGAAAAGCTCCCAAGCGGCTTACACTCCTGGCAATCAGTCCTTAGCAGCATACAGTAAATCCCCCCAAAGACGAGACAAAGCTCCGTGTTGAGGGTCAAGCAGTGGTCTGTTTAATGAGGGCTACCTGCCCAGTATTTATGCAGGTCTCCCACCCGGTGGACACTCCCCTAGGGGACCAAATGGGAGACTGTGACAAAAGACAGACAAGTAGACAAATAGGACACACAGTCACAATATATTCCCACAATGCATCCTGGCTTCCTCCCCTCTGCCCTGGGAGATAATTGGGAAGTAATTAAATTATCTCCCAAGACAAAGGCAAAACTCCATTACACATGTGGGGATACAAAACCAGTATTATACTTTAAAATACATAAAGTAACATTTATTACATAAAACACAGACATGTAACATATCCCCAGATAGCTCAGGTCTGAGCGCACATTATTAAGCGAATGGCGCTCAGACCACACGAATACAGTTTAATCGCCATGGAGCCAAAGTCTTTACAGTCAGTTTCATACGAATGGGCTCCATGGGATTCCTATCTGGGGTATAACACATTCAATCAAAACTACCGAACACCGGGCCGTTCGTGCACTTCCACCGAACAAGAAGGGAGGTCGGCGGCTTCAGCGGTGTTCGCGCAAAACTGTGTCCGATTTTAGTTTCTATGAAAATAGGGGCGAACACCGCTGTGCATTCGTATGTTTAAAATGGCCGCGACCTCGTGTTCGGGATACGAATGGCGGCCACCCAGCATTCGTCAATTAAGCTGCGGTTAACCGCAGCTTCAGGGAGGTTAATTGCCGGCACACTCCAGCTCCCAGGTGGTCTATTCATTCGTGCGGTTGTTCGGTAGATTGAATCTACCGAACAACTGGCAGAAAAGCACGAATACAGCTTTTCTCCAGGCGAAATAAAGTCTTTTAAAAGGGGGCCATAGTCCAGAGGCAGCAGGCGAGCAACCAGGCTTCTCCAATGCAATGTGGCGAGATTGGTCTCGTCACATCTCTCCCTTTTTCCAAACAGACTAACAGGGTATCTGACCTCCTGCCGGTCAGTGCCCTTGTTAGTCCAGCAGCCCACCCACAAAACACAATCAACAGCACAGCCCACCCACAATAAATAGTTACTGCACCTGGGTAGAGGAGAAGCTTGTCCATGTCCAGGTGCCTCACCACGGCTGTGCTGGGTACGGGTACGCTGACTTGGTGGGGTGCTGCGTGGGCAGAGACCAGCGGCACTCTGCCCTGTTGCCAGCGCTACTGGGAGGGTAGCCTGGTTGAACCCTGGTTGTTGGAGAGGGAGACCGACTGTCTCCCCTTTAGATACACAGTCCTGCTGCTGGAGACCGACTGTCTCCCCTTTGGTTACACAGCTCTGCTGCTGGAGACCGACTGTCTCCCCTTTGGTTACACAGCTCTGCTGCTGGAGGGGGAGACCGACTTCAGGGAGGTTAATTGCCGGCACACTCCAGCTCCCAGGTGGTCTATTCATTCGTGCGGTTGTTCGGTAGATTGAATCTACCGAACAACTGGCAAAAAAGCACGAATACAGCTTTTCTCCAGGCGAAATAAAGTCTTTTAAAAGGGGGCCATAGTCCAGAGGCAGCAGGCGAGCAACCAGGCTTCTCCAATGCAATGTGGCGAGATTGGTCTCGTCACAGATCCTATAATCAAATTCTATTTGATTGATCCTATAATCAAATTACTATATGACCTATTTTTTCTGTTGTTAATCTATTCATTCCCTTTATAACTCCTATTGGTATCCTATTGGTATCCCTTTGGATACTCTAAGCTGTCGCTGGGGAGAGGGGGTACCAGGCTCCTCTCCCGATAGAACACTCTGCCGCTGGGGAAAGGAGACTGAGCTCTCTATTCCCTGCCCATTAATGATCCACTGCTGGGGAGAGGTGGTAGCAAGCTCCTCTCCCATACATACTTTCATCCTCTGTGGAGGGAGACCGACTGTCTCCGCTCCCAATACAGTGTCCTGCTGCTGGGAAGGGGAGACTGGGCTCTCTATTCCCTGCTGGATACTCTGCCGCTGGGGACTGGAGACTGGGCTCCCAATTCCCAACCAATAACACTGCCGCTGGGGAATGGAGACTGGGCTCCCAATTCCCAAAAAATCACGCTGCCGCTGGGGAGGGAGGACACTGCTCTCCTCTCCCTGGACTTCACACTGCCTTCCCGGCATATCACTTGGCTGCTGGGGGGCAGGAACAACTACCTCTGCCCCCTGTAACTCAGCCTGCCGCTGGGGAGGGAGGACGCTGCTCTCCTCTCCCTGCACTTTACACTGCCGCTGGGGAATGGAGACTGGGCTCCCAATTCCCAATAAATCACACGGCCGCTGGGGAATGGAGACTGGGCTCCCAATTCCCTGCAGGACCGGTTGAGAGACCTCGGTCCCATCTCTACCGGCCACCTGGGGTTCTTCCCAGAAAATATCAACAATGTCTTCCCAGCTGAATGGGTCTGGAACTGGATCTGTCACCTTGCTGTCCTGCTGAATCTTCTCAATGGAGTGGAAGAGATCTCGGTAGTCCTGCTCCAGTTCCCACTCCAGGGTTGCTAGGTGAGCCAGGTCTTGCTCAATGTCGTGAGTGTCGTCCCAGTCATACCTGCTCTCCCTCCACTCCAAGAGATCACTGAACCGGGCTTGTATAGGGCTCCCAAATTCAGGCTCTGAAAAAGCCTCCCATAACAAGCCAGGACCATTAAACTCTTCTCCCTCTGGCTTGTCATGCTCGGCTGTCCAGGGCAGGTACTGTGCCCCATACCACCAGAGCGCCTGGTAGGCATCTTCCAGCCAAATCTCCTGCCATACCCGGTGCTCCAATTCCTTCACCCATTCATCCAGGGGCTGCTCTCCCAGGAAGGGCATCCGCAGGGCCACTTGCTTCTGCAACCGCTGCTCTTCACTGGGGAGACTCTCGCCCCGCTGGTATTGTACATTATCCAGGGCCTGGTACCAGATGCCTTTCCTTAATGCATCCCGGCCATCCAGGTCCTCCTCCTCGTATGACACTGCTGGTTCCATTCTGTTGCTGTCAGGGTCGCTGTACTCAGACATGCGTTGCCCTCAAATTGTAAATCCACGGAATGGTGTTGCCTGTAGCTGTCCTGTAGTCTGTGGGAACGATCCCGCCGCTTGCCACCAATTGTAACGGACCGTTTTGCAAAAAAGGGGAAAAAAACGCTTAGACGATAATCCCTTTTTAGAGACAGGCACAGCTACTGTAGAATCACCCAAAACTCACAAATTGAATACAAGTGAATGCACCAAACTCCCGAACTGCATTCAAGGGAATGCTCCAAACACTCGAACTGCATACAATAAGTGAATGCTTCAAACTCCTGAACGGCATCCAATACAGCACTCCAAATACACGAACAGGAACCATACGAATTGCTGCTACCAGACGAACAGGAAAAGCTCCCAAGCGGCTTACACTCCTGGCAATCAGTCCTTAGCAGCATACAGTAAATCCCCCCAAAGACGAGACAAGGCTCCGTGTTGAGGGTCAAGCAGTGGTCTGTTTAATGAGGGCTACCTGCCCAGTATTTATGCAGGTCTCCCACCTGGTGGACACTCCCCTAGGGGACCAAATGGGAGACTGTGACAAAAGACAGACAAGTAGACAAATAGGACACACAGTCACAATATATTCCCACAATGCATCCTGGCTTCCTCCCCTCTGCCCTGGGAGATAATTGGGAAGTAATTAAATTATCTCCCAAGACAAAGGCAAAACTCCATTACACATGTGGGATACAAAACCAGTATTATACTTTAAAATACATAAAGTAACATTTATTACATAAAACACAGACATGTAACATATCCCCAGATAGCTCAGGTCTGAGCGCACATTATTAAGCGAATGGCGCTCAGACCACACGAATACAGTTTAATCGCTATGGAGCCAAAGTCTTTACAGTCAGTTTCATACGAATGGGCTCCATGGGATTCCTATCTGGTATAACACATCTGCCCAAATCAAAACTACTGAACACCGTCAAGCTCGTGCACTTCCACCTAACAAGAAGGGAGGTCAGCGGCTTCAGCCGTTCAAGAAAACTGTGTCCGACTTTAGTTCCATGTGAAAATAGGGGCGAACACCAGCTGTGCATTCGTGATGTTTAAAATGGCCGACTGCGGCACCGGGATACTAATGGCGCACCCAGCATTCGCAGTTAATTAATTGCCAAGCGGTTAACCGCAGCTTCAGGGAGGTTAATTGCTCGGGGCACACCTGTGCCCCACGGGTCTATTCCATTCAGGAGGTTGACTTTGGTGGGGTGCTGCGTGGGCAGAGACCAGCGGCACTCTGCCCTGTTGCCAGCGCTACTGGGAGGGTAGCCTGGTTGAACCCTGGTTGTTGGAGAGGGAGACCGACTGTCTCCCCTTTAGATACACAGTCCTGCTGCTGGAGACCGACTGTCTCCCCTTTGGTTACACAGCTCTGCTGCTGGAGACCGACTGTCTCCCCTTTGGTTACACAGCTCTGCTGCTGGAGGGGGAGACCGACTTCAGGGAGGTTAATTGCCGGCACACTCCAGCTCCCACGTGGTCTATTCATTCGTGAGGTTGACTTGGTGGGGTGCTGCGTGGGCAGAGACCAGCGGCACTCTGCCCTGTTGCCAGCGCTACTGGGAGGGTAGCCTGGTTGAACCCTGGTTGTTGGAGAGGGAGACCGACTGTCTCCCCTTTAGATACACAGTCCTGCTGCTGGAGACCGACTGTCTCCCCTTTGGTTACACAGCTCTGCTGCTGGAGACCGACTGTCTCCCCTTTGGTTACACAGCTCTGCTGCTGGAGGGGGAGACCGACTTCAGGGAGGTTAATTGCCGGCACACTCCAGCTCCCAGGTGGTCTATTCATTCGTGCGGTTGTTCGGTAGATTGAATCTACCGAACAACTGGCAGAAAAGCACGAATACAGCTTTTCTCCAGGCGAAATAAAGTCTTTTAAAAGGGGGCCATAGTCCAGAGGCAGCAGGCGAGCAACCAGGCTTCTCCAATGCAATGTGGCGAGATTGGTCTTGTCACAGATCCTATAATCAAATTCTATTTGATTGATCCTATAATCAAATTACTATATGACCTATTTTTTCTGTTGTTAATCTATTCATTCCCTTTATAACTCCTATTGGCTGACCTACCATTCAATCAATTCACTTAAGCTTTGGATTGGTCACTTCTCTACCAATTATGAGAAACAGCCCGATATTTAAAACCTCTGTTTGCATGCTCATTTCCCCCTGAAGAGCCGCCCAACCGGCGAAATGCACGTCGGGTCTCCACCATTCACCCATGGTTAGACTGCAGACCCTTTACCGACAGTTCGTGATCACTGGCACAGACTAGCACAGTGGTTCCCAACCCGTGGTACGCGTACCCCCAGAGGTACAATTCAGCTCTCCTGGGGGTACGCAAAAAAATATCCATAATGGCGGAGCTGAGCCGATCCAGGGTACATTGCCCCGAGACTGGCTGCCCTGGATTCGTTTACTTAATGCTTCATGGCTGGAATGGAGTGACAGGATGGAGGAGCCTTACAGTGCCTATCCATCCTGTCAGTAGCATGCAGGATCCTCTCAGCTCACAGTCCCACCACTCAGGGTGCCCACCCAGGGTGTGCTGTCACTTTCAGCTTGCTGCAGCACCGCCTCCTTGCTCCCTCAGAGCAGAGCAGTAAGGCTGGGACAGATAGCATCGCGTGGGAGGGCACAGCACAGAGCAACAGGAGACGCAGGGGCTGTGCACACATGTTGGGACAGGTAAGAAATCTTCTTTATGTGACTCCTCCCCACTGCCACTGCCACTGGCCCCCTCCCCACACTGCCACTGCCCCCCCTTCCCACACTGCCACTGCCCCCCTCCCCTACAATTGGCGACCACGAAGGGACATGGTACTTGGAAGCTTTAATTATAAAATAATAAATACCTAGGTAACCTCTAATACATAAGAGAAGACACAATACTTTGTCATGGCACAAGTCTTGAAATATCCCCACTTCCACTGTCTCTCTCCCACACAGCCACTGCTACACTTTGGCTTGACCAGGGTATCTAGAATAAGTAGTGTCACGCCTGCTTGTATTAGTCAACAGTGTAGGACTTATAGTCGGTCATGATGGCTTTTGCCATGCCCAGTGTGGACAATTTATGTATAAGGTTGTGACCACAGTTTCTGGGTTTATCCTCATGTGGGTATACTAAAGATCCGCTTAGACGCTTGAAGTAGACTTATGACATCTAACCATGGGGGGAGGGGGGGGCTAGGTCGCATGAGTGTATAAATCTTTTTCTGCAGTTAAGGGTCTGTGGTAGAGAGATGAGACCCATCTTGTAAACTAGAATACCTGACTAGCTATTGAGTGCCAGGTGTGTAGGTGTTGATAATTTAAAACTTTTTAACTACGGAAAGGCAACAACATAAAAACTAATAAACAAAACATTATACTTGTGCCGGGATATCTTCTCAGGTCGGTGCCCCTTGTTTCTCTCAGTTTCTAGGAGTAGAAGGTATTATTCTCTCTGGATCCAATATGCGTGAGGTAGAGGGGGTCGCAGGTGCCATCGGTCTTGTGGGAATCTCCAGTGCTTGGAGGAAAGAGTCAGTCTCCGTCAGTGAGGTAAGTCTTATCGAGGCGCCCTCTTTGATTACTGTTAGGACTCTTGGCAAGGTCCATCGGTACTCAATGTTTGCAGCACGCAATTGATGGTATATTTTAGGCCTTGTATCTCTATTCCTCAGGTCCTGGATGTCCTCTTCACAGCTTGAACTTCAGTCCTTGTAGCGGTTACCCCGGTGAGAAGAGGGGTTTCCACCACCAGAGTCATCCTTCTCCCCAAGTGTGAGTTGTCTTATAGCATTCCAAGTAGTCATCCAAGCAGAGAAGCAGGTATAGCAGTTCCCTACAAAAAGAGACAAGACTCTTGTGGCAGAACAGATCTCGCCACGTGTGCTTGGAAGGGGGCTGCTTGCCCGCCTCCTACCTTCTGACTATGGCCCTGGGATATATGGCATTTGAAAACACTATTTGTGCCCTGTGACAAAACTGGAGATTGTGCACAAATATGACTATTGTCCATATTTTTTATGATTCCCTTCATTTGTTGCACTGTTCCCCATGTGTTTCATCTGTTGGTTCGGCTGGATAGACTACCAGACAAACTGGAGTTACTGGGTGGCCACCATTTCATGTATCAGAGGCACATGGTGAGAACAATGGATGAAGCACATGGTGAGAACAATGGATGGCGGCCATTTTAACTCACAGACGGTTCCGAGGATATACTTTTTATGGGGTTATTGCATGTTTTGGGCTCCCTGTGATATGTTTTATAATACTGTATTTCTCTGCCTTTGATAATTATATTAACCATTGTGTTCAGAAATCATATAACAGGCAGAGGGGAGGATTTTGTGTGGGAGTGTCTGTGTGTATTGTACGGATTGATTGGTTATATTTCAAAACCCTGTGGGCAGTACTATGTTTGTGGATTGTGAATAAAAAAGGCTGTATGTGCCAGTACAGTCAGTTCTGCTTGACCTCAAAATGAAGTGTCGTCACATTATTGGGGGAATTGGATTGTATGTTGATTGCCAGGAGTGTAAGCTGATTGTATGCTTTTCCTGTTCAGCTGCTTACAGCATTCATATGCTTGAGAGCATTCGTATGCTTCTCCAGTTCGGTGGTTGTGGTGTCTGCTGCAGTGCTTGGAGTCCTCAGGAAGCGCTAGGAGCATCCTTCAACGGAGGTACCCAGTCGGGGTGCCAGGTGATCCGTTACAAATCTATGTTGAGGGTAAAGTAAGAGTGATTTTATTGGAGCCACTGCTGGCCTTTTATGCAGGTCCCCATGCAAGGGGTTTCTGGTGACAAATTCCAGGGGCATTCCCCACTGGACCTGAGAGGGAACAGCAACATAAGCACACACATAATTACATTACCTCTCAGGTCCAAGACATGCAAAATAAAAATGCCCCCAAAATACACATTTAACAATTAGGTAACCCTTCAAGTTCTATATCCCCGGACAGCCTGGACCTGAGCGCCCAATATTTGTCGAAATCACTCTGATCCCATGAATGTAGCCGAAAAGCCAGAGGGGTATATTTTAGACCGACCGCACACAAGGCGCCTGCCCAGAATAATTCCATGAAGTTAGGCCGGGTGGTTGGTCTCTTTCGGGAGTACCAAAAAACAACTTATAAGGTAATTGGTCGTTTGTGCGTCCGTTCCCATAGTTCTTGTGGTTTGGGAGATGTTTCTAA